TTTTTTTAGAGTTCTTGGTGGGCTGGAGAAATCAGGGCAACACTTTGAGAAGGAAATGGGATGTTGGCTTTGAAGTACAGCCGTGTTTACAGACCAGTCACTCTTGCTGTCAACTCTTCTGCCTATATTATCCAATCTGCAGCCCATCTTTTAAATATACATCCTTCTTTATTCATTGGAGAAAGGCATTAGTGAATTAGTTATCTAATATAATCTCTCTGTATCAGAAAATGTTTTTTCCACTTTGGTAGCTTTTACCCATAAGATTTATTTTCCAGCTTTTTGCCTGTTTCCAAGCTTCCTGTCCTTTTTTTTTTTCCCCATACAATTACCTCTCTAGTAAACTTTTGTCTAGTGTCCAGAATAGTAAGGGGAAAAAAACAGCATTCCTGTATCTATTTTGTGTTCCTTGCTGAATATTTCATGGTGACTTTTTTTCAGTGGAAGCTGTGTTTGAAGCCAGTGGAAATTAGTTTTCTAAGAATTCGTGTTTGGCAAAACAAAATCTGCAGGATTCGTATGTTATTCTCTTCAGAGAGATTGCTTTAAAATACGTATTTGTCTGAAGTTGGTTAGTTTACTTAGTCTGATCTAGGTGTTAAGGAAGGTCATGTACCATGATTTTCCTTTTTCTCTGGCCATGGCTAGCATCATGGTCCCTGAACAGTTATCCCCAAATGCTTGCTGTTGGCCAAAATGGAACATAGTTTAGTGCATGTAGCTGGATCAGCATAGCCTACAGAGCACTCCTGGAAAAGATTTTAAGTACATGTCCTCTTGGCAGTAGACTGGCAAAATTGTCTCTGTATAGGAAATTTAAATCTTTAAACATTTTAAAATGTTTTAAAATTGCTCATCTTTAAGGATTTTTAAATGGTTTTTTAAAATTTTTTATTTCCATAGATTTTTTGGAAACAGGTGGTGTTTGGTTACATGAGTAAGTTCTTGAGTGGTGATTTGTGAGATTTTGGTGCACCCATTCCTGAGCAGTGTACACTGAATTCAATTTGTAGTCTTTTATCACTCAGCCCCTTCCCACCCTTTCATACTGAGTCTCCAAAGTCCACTGATTCATTCTTATGCCTTTGCATCCTCATAGCTTAGCTCCCACTTATGAGTGAGAACATATGATGTTTGGTTTTCTATTGCTGAGTTACTTCACTTAAAGTTAAGTCTTCTATTCCATCCATGTTGCTGTGAATGCCATTAATTTATTCCTTTTTATGGCTGAGTAGTATTCTATCATATATATATATATATATGTGTATCACAGTTTTTTTACTCATTGATTGATGGACATTGTGTTGCTATAAACATGCATGTGGAAGTATCTTTTCCATATAATGACTTCTTTTCCTCTGGGTAGATGCCTAGTAGTGGGATTGCTGGATCAAATGGTAGCTCTACTATTAGTTCTTTAAGGAATCTCCATACTGTTTTCCATAGTGATTGTACTAGTTTACATTCCCACCAACAGTGTAGAAGTGTTCCCTTTTCACCGCATCCATGCCAACGTCTGTTACTATTTTTTGATTATGGCTGTTTTTGCAGGAGTAACATGGTATCACATTGTGGTTTTGATTTGCATTTCCCTGATGTGATGTTCAGCATTTTTTTTGTGTTTCTTGGCCATTTGTATATATTCTTTTGAGAATTGTCTATTCATGTCCTTAGCCCACTTTTTGATGGGATTGTTT